TCCATTAAGATAACTATGCCTCATAGCTGAAAGAGCCCTGCGGCTACTGGACTACTCTCCAGCAATATCGGTTGAAAATGCTGACACTAGTAACAGGACTGAAAATATGCCGGAGTTAAAGAGAAATGAACCTAAATAGGTGAACATCAATGATCGCAAACAGAGGGTACCCGTTTTTCTGATACCATCCAATGACACGTACGGTAACCACACAGGTCACTATCCATACCGATGCGTGCAAGTAGGCTCATTACGCCGGTAGACACTCTTTAAAAACAAAATCTGCTTTAATTCTGACTTTTGATAAATTTCAGCATAGCAAAATAATTCCAGAGACACAAAAAGTATGACCTAAGCTATCAGCAATATAAAGTACTGAGACCCTTATTTATAAGTCCAATAAGTCAACCCATGCCAAGCTATTGTAACCTTTATTCAGTGCACTCTATGCTGTTCGTACTGAGTTCCTGTTCAGTGGGACAGAGTTAATAGGGTCTGGTTGAATGGCAGTGGTTCAGTCCAGGACTGGCTTATCACTTGCTTGTCCCAAGCGATTGTCAGAGGGTCTTTCGAACTGGTGCTGATCACCTTTTGTTTCGACAGCGGTTGACTTCAAACACAGAGGCGGAGTCTGAAGTTGTCACTGTTGATACGAATTTGAAAATCACCGCTTTAAATTCAATTCCACAATCGTACTAATACATGCGACCAAATACAATTTGGAGAGGAAGGAGTATATAAGATAAAACACAAATCTACATCTACTATAATCTAATTCACGATCCGTGACCGTCCTGGTCTACATTAGTGTGGTGCACGTGGCTGTCACCAGCGAAACCGACGATCGACATGGCGATTTGCAGGGATGCATCTGTATCCACCTATGTCGCGGATGAAATGACAAGGCCAATGGAGGATGTTGACGTTGTTCGACACCCTTTGCCTTGGGTTAAAGGATTATAGGAATTTTTAATAGCGAATGACAGGGGAGCTGTGAGCTAAGTAAATAGGAACTTACTGGCGTCGAACGTATGATATGAGTTGCTTATTTCAACTAGGCGTTATTGCCTTCCTAATATTTTATCAGGCATTTCCTGGTGACTTACCGCGGGTACCATTAACAGAAAAAAGATAACGTTTTGAAGGAGGTCCAAGGTGCCTTTATTGCCCCATGACAAGCCTAACACCAACAAGATACAGGAACACTTATCTTAACCCTTGCCCCTCTTAATTTTTATCCTAACGCCAAACCAGCACATCGTTGCCGTCAATATGAGTGTTTATTTTTATATGTTCGTCCTTGGAGCATGTAAGCAACTTCTATCCGTTAATGAACTTTCACCGATCAGTAACGAAACGCACGTCTCGTGTAGGGCACTACTTTGGGGTTGAATATGGGTGGCAAATGAGCGTTAATGGGCCAGAAATTGCCATTCCAGTCGTCTTCTCTTTGCCTCTAGTTTTCTGCGTGTGACAGGTACCCCAAGGTCGTTACCGTTGCGAACCAGTAGAAACTATAAGGGGCTGCCGACCCCAACCAACCAAAGTACCCCTAGCTGATTCAGTGCTAGAGGTACGCTGTTATTGCCCTGTATGCCTTACGGTTATCTATTTAAGCGTTTCTTAAGGAGCTGTAGGGACGCTGTCACTAAAATGGACGCAAAACAAACAACAAATGAAAATTAGTCATAAACACTCACCGGTATCGGTTTTAGTACAGTACAAACTGCCCGTGAAAAGTCTGCAGTGAACTGGTAAGTAGATCCTGCTGTCTAGATGGATTTATCTCCGGCAGAATGCAGATCGATAAATGCCAATGAACTATCACTATTCGCTAAAAATTAAAATGGCCAACAAGTGGAATAAGAGAAAAATAGACAACATGCAACAAGGATAACAGAAGGCGCCTTGTCGTAAATCAAAGCTGTTCTGGGCGGATAGTACTGTCGGCAAAGACAAGGGAGATCAGAACGGACATTCCTGGCTTATTAGCCTACCTCGGGGAGTCATACCAAGACGCAAGTGGCGTCCCACCCGGGCCTCAAACGCGCGATCTTTTTGATCAGAGTCTCACACCCCAACCATTGATCCACGAGCTTTTTGTCTTGCCGGTCGGGGGGTAGGGACACTATTTTATGAATGTTCTACCGACCGCTATCGGAACTCCTCAGTCCCGCTCTGCCTGCGGTCAACACAGAGGCCCTGACATTACTGACTGTTATTCAGAGCTAGTTGCTGCCTCAACGCCAAAAGGATCCCCAAATAACAAGTCTGGCAAGACTGATTGAACTCGAACAACTTT